AAAGAGAAGAATGTCTGGTTACTCTGTGGGTTTTCATCTGCTTTTAAATTCACATGTTGCCAAATTACACTAGCCCTCCACCCCACCGCCCCCTCCAAAAAAGCCCAGTTGCTGCCACCAGTGAGGCCATCCAGCCCTGGCAAGGAGCTCATCTCCCCTCCACACCACCAGCCCCTTTGGCACAAAGGATTAGTTCTCCTAAGCCTGGCCAACGACTTTTGCAGATTTCTTAGCTGAGGGTATGCCAAAGAGCTGCCTGGGCCCCCGGAAGAAGCAAGGCCGCCTGGAGGGTTAAAAGAGCAGGCTCAGGGGTTCTACACTCCCCCCTGCTTCTGGGCACTTTGCATGGATGTGTGTAGGAAGCCAAGGCCTGGACATTTGTACAGGAAGGATGTCCCCAGTAGCTCGCAGCAGCCCTAACTGGCGTTTCCAGCACGGGGAGGAGGTATTTATAGGAAGGGCAGCCAGCCAAGCCAGACCAGCTCCAACTTTCTTTCAACCAACTCTTTTCCATCTTCTGCAGTTCTCCCTCAAGTCAAACAGAGAGGCATTCCTCCCTTTATTGCTTGGTTTTTACACAAGGACTGAGGTTCTCATTAAAATGATTGAGAAACCCTGACTGAAAAGATGGAGAAGAACCTGCACGACACGCGCCTTCCCCCCTTAGCTCTTAATCTTCTCTCCCCCAAACAACTGCCGCCCCAAGGCAGCCCGTGCTCCTTCTCCTGTCCCTATGGCAGGCCTCCAGATGGCCCAAGCTCCCTGTTACCCTGGGTCCCAATAATCCTTTCTACCAGCCCTCTCACCAACACCCATGCCCCCCTTTTATTTAGTTAAAATAATTTTTCTTTCTTCACGATAGAGTACAAGTGCACATACGTGAGAGAGGGAGAGAGATGGACACCCTCCGCAGGCACTGGTCTCACTGCTATTTCCTTCCTCCAGCCCCCCAGATCTTGGGCGCTCCCCATGTGCCTGGCATGTTTCATGCTGACCAAGCCAGGACTGGAACAGTGGTCACCACCTGGATCCAGCTTCTCTTGATCAGCACGTTATCATCGTGCAATGAAACTACCCCACTCCTTTTAAAATGTGCTACGGAGTGTGTGCACTTGCTGGAGAAAGTGAGAAGTCCCCCCCAGGGGGGACAGCCACGCTGCAACCCCTCTCAGGATTTTGGACATACATACACATGCGCTCCAGGGTATTTCTTAAGCTGCTGGTCCAGGACACAACCACGTCATCAGCCATGTGGGATCAACCCACCTTAGCCCCTGGCTACTGGCCCCTCACCTGCTCTTATCACATTCTGTAAAACCCTCTAGGATCTGCCCTCACCCCACCCTCCTCTGACCTCATTTCTTCACATTCTTCCTCTATACTCTTCTTTGCTATTGTCAAGCACCCCTCAGGGCCTTGGCACCAGCTGTTCCCTCTACCTGGAACACTCTCACATCTAGGCAGTCTAAGGCTGAATCTCTCATGAGATTGACCATGTGGCATCTGGCTTACTTAGCCACCAGGCCACAAGTAACTTTCAGACTGGTGCCTGAAAGTTACTCCCAGAGAGCCTTTGATAACACTATCTATTAGAAATCTTCTATGGGGGGGGGGGACCTAGCAAATAGCATAATGGTTATGTCGCAGGACTCCCATGTAGTCGACCACAGTTCGCGTCCCGGACCCGGTGGCTTAAAACTCACACCGGGCACGTGTGCATGCGTGCCCAAGATCCCAAGAGGAGAATGGAGGAGAAAGGATTGTGGCGTGGCTATCCCCTCTGAGGGGTGATTTCTCGTTTTCTCTTTCTCTGTCTCTCTCTCTCTGTCTGGGGAACACATGCACCGTATAGCAAAAAAATAAAAAAAAAAAAATCCTCTCCAAAACAAACAAACAAAAAAATCCTCTATTGGGGCCCGCAGGTGACAAGGTGGTTAAGGACACTGGACTCCCACATGGCCAATTGTGGTTCAAGTCCTGGACCTGGCAGCTTGCTTCCTCACTTTCCCTCTCTCTCGCTCTGTCCCTCTCTGATCAAAATAAAAAAATAATAAAGTTAAAAAAAAAATCTCTCTATACTCACAATTTCAATGGTCGCTTTATTTTTCTTAGCATCAACAAAGACTCCCTCCTTGACAATACTTTAGTCAGGCTAATCTGAGCCCTCTCTCCTCCAGGCCTCAACCTCAGTCTGATCACAGCAAAATAAATCCAGCCGAGTCATCACCCACCCTTGTTATCTGGTCTTCATTCCCTACCTTAGCCTGCCATTTGCAGAGTCTTGTTGAGTTGGTTTAACAAGAAGCCCCAACCCTGGTGTCTCCTTTTAGTTATTCCCCCATCCCCTGACCTCCTTATTCTACTTGTTGGTTATTAAATCCCCAGGTAGCCTTTGATGCACTCAGAGATGAGCTCAGTCTCTCTCCTCTGTTGCAAAAGAGTTGATTTCTATTGCGATAGTGTTTAATAAAGACTCCCTTGCCATTTTTTTTTTAACAGAGATTTTTTGCTATAGGGTGTTTGTGCTTGCTGGAGAGACAGAGGGACAGAAAATGAGCAATCGCCCCGGGAGGGGATGGCCACGCCACAATCTCTTCTCCATTCTTTTCTTGGGATTTCGGGCAGGCACGCACACACATCCAGTGTGAGTTTGAAGCCACTGGGTCCAGGACTCGAGCCACTGTCCAACTATGTGGGAGTCCAGTGACATAATCACTGCGACATACTCATTATGCCATAGCTGGTCCCGCCCTTGCTATTTTAACAAGTGTTAGAATAATTTTTCTTTAACGCCACCGGACATCATAACATCGTTTTATTCATCTCCCCCTCCCCTGGACTATAAGTTCCAAAAGGGCAGGATCTTCATGTGTTTATTCTCCACTAGATGGCTAGCTTCTAGAACAGTGTCTGTTCCATGGCAGATATTCAACGAAAATTTGTTGAGTGAAGGAATTCGCTACCTCCATTCTTTTTAATAATTTTATTTTTAATTTTTTTAAATTTAGTTTTATTTATTTTCTTATTTGACCAAAGAGGGACAGAGCAAGAGAGAGAGAGAAAGTGAAAAAGCAAGGTGCCAAGTCTGGAACTCGAATCACGGTTGGCCATGTGGGAGTCCAGTTTCCTTAACCACCACACCACCTGCTGACCTCGCTACCTCCATTCTTAGCCTCAGTTTACCTACTACCTCCTCTGGGTAGCTGTCTCTGAATCTTCTAAGGCTTGACCCTGTACTTAGCAATGATCACACTGCTCTCAGGAGATTATTCTCTGGGTTAATCTGTACTTTTTAAACTGGGCACAGTGGTATGTGCGTATATCCCCAGTTATTGGGAGGACGAGACAGGAGGCACACAAGTTAAAGGCTGGTCTAGATCATCTAGGGAGAGCCTGTCTCTGGGGAAGGGGAAAAAATAAATTTAAGTGTGTGTGTGTATACATACATATATACATATACATATATAACAATTATATATATTTAAAGAATTGTTTATTTAATTCCACTTATTTTTTATTTTAATTTAACCAGAGAGAGAGAGAATAGAAAAGTGAGAAAGCAAGCTGCCAGGTCCAGGACTCAAACCGTGGTCGGCCATGTGGGAATCCAGTGCCTTTAACCACCATGCCACCTGCTTGCCCCCTTCATTTATATACATTTAGTGTGCATGTGTACATGTGTATTTTTGTTACATAATTGATATATTCACATGCAGAACAAAGCATAAATGTCTGTCCTGACCATCTGCCCGCCTTCTCTTCCATACCTCAACATCCACCCATATTTTCCTATGTAAACACATCCATGCACACATCTGTTTGTATGACTCTATTTAACCTCTCTCCCTCCCCACCCACACACACATAAAATGCCTGGCCCATAGCAAGGGCATAATTCTTTAAGAATTTTATTTATTTACTTATATTTGACCAGAGAGGGATAGAGTGAGAGACAAAGTGAGAAAGCAAGGCACCAGGTCCAGGACTCAACTGCAGTTGGCTATGTGGGAGTCCAGTGCCCTTAACCATCATGCCACCTGACAGTCTCTCTTTTAATCTTTTTTTAAGAATTATTTATCTCTATTTATTTTAATTTGACCAGAGAGCGAGAAAGCAAGCCACCAGGTCCAGGACTCAAACAGTGGTTGGCCATGTGGGAGTCTAGTGCCTTTAACCACCATACCACCTGCTGGCTCTGTTTTTAAGAATTATTTTATTTGAGGACCAACAGGTGGTGTGGTGTTTAAGGAGCTGGACATTCCCACATGGCCGACCATGGTTAGAGTCCCGGACCTGGTGGCTTGCTTTCTCTCTCTCTCTCTGGTCAAATTAAAATAAATGAATGAACAAACAAAATTAAAATAAATTCTTTTTAAAAAGAATTATTTAACTTGTCCATTATTACTTTTTTTTTTTAATTTGATGAGAGAGAAGAAAAGTGAGAAAGAAAACTGCCAGGTATAGGACTTGAACCTAGGTCAACCTTGTGGGAGTCCAGTGCCTTAACCACCACACCATGCCAGCCCCAAGGGTGTAATTCTAACAACATGTAAAGAGTTCCTCTGAGGAGGTTGGGAACCAGTTCTCTATTCTCCAGAATCAAGTTCAGCTTTGTCCTAGTCTCTCTGGCCTTCTCATCCCCAGGAGAAAGAGGCCACCTGGAAGAGGGAGATGGAGTGCCAGGGCTAGCCACTCACAGCTCACTCCTCCATACCAGGGTAACTTTCAAGGCCAGTACAGGCCAGAGTGAGCTGCCTGAGCCTTACAGCTCAAAGGTGTGTTCCTGGAGGGCAGGAAGGTCCAGCTGACCAGAAAACCACTGTAGCCCAGAGCCCTGTTCAGGAATTCAGGCCTCCCTGGATGTTTGGGGGAGGGGGCACCGTGCTGGGGTTGGGGGTGGGGTAGCTGGTTGTACAAACAGCCCAAGTAGGTCTCCACAAACAGGAAAAGTAAACAGAGGAGGACACTTCCCAAGCTCTTGAGCCTCTCCAAGGAGAGCAAAGCTTCCAGTGTTTGTTGAAATGCTAATATGACTTTTAAATGCTTTGAAAGAGCCGAAAGAGGAAGTACTGACTACAGACCAACCCTCCACTGGCCTGTAGTCAAAGCCTGGTCCTGTCCCCCTCCCTCATCCTCTGTCTCTGAGGTTATTACACACAGAGAGACCCAGAGGAACAGAAGTTACCTTGGACAGATGCAGTAGCTGACCACACTGAGCGCTGTCTGGCCCTATTCCTCCTTTCCCAGTCAAGAAAGAAGTCTTCTTAGGAGCAGAAAACTGGCTGGAATGGGAAAGAGCTGACTCCAGCGGCCTTCACCCTGGGGCAAGCTCAGGTCACTCTCAAACTGGGAATCTGGGAGGTACTGAAGAGTCCTTGCCTCAGCTGCTGAGAGGCACTTAATTATCTATCTCTGTGCCTCCACCTCCACCCCAAGTGGGTCTTATTTCTGGCAGCCAAGTCACTGCCCACAGGTGCAGGTGAAATGAATTTCCAATGGATTTTCCAAACAACAATTAAAGGAAACTCTTCCTGAATGTTTCAGGGTCTTGTTCTCTTTCTCTGGGACGACTTCACCAGATCCTGGTATCCCTCTCACCAGCTAGCGTGATGAACCATCCTAGTTTGCCAGGGACTGTCCTGGCTTAGCAAGGGAGGGTTGGTCACACACCACTGAGGCCTCCTCAGCTTCCTCCCATCCATCCCTGTGGTTTCAGAGAGGGCACGTACTTTGGGAAGGAGGCCTGGCTATGTAGGGGTAGGTTCCTGACATTGTTTCCTTAGGGGTGTTAGAAAGGAGAAAAAGTAGTCAATCTAGTGGTTCGATTAGTTTCTTTCTAACAAAAACTTTTTCTTTTTTTTTCTAAAGAATTACTATTTTACTTAACTTTATTTTTAATTTGGCCAGAGATGGACAGAGTGAGAGAGAGAGAGAAAATAAGCCACTAGGTCCAGGATTCAAACCACTGTTGGCCAAGCGGAAGGAGTACAATGCCCTTAACCACCATGCCACCTGCAGCCCCAGAAACTTTTTCTTATGAGTTGCTTTCTCATATTCCCTCTCTCTTGTCTCTGGTCAAGTTAAAAAATATTAAATTTTTTTTAAATAAAAGAGGGAGATAGAGAAACATAATACCTAACACTCAGCACTTACTATGCTTTATATGATATATTTTGTTTCATTTAATCTGAAAAGGAAGGTGATCTCTCTTAGATGAGGAAACTAAAACCCAGGATTACACAACCAGTAAGAAGTAGGGGTGGGATCCCAATCCAGTCAGGGTAACACCAGGGCTCACAAACTTAATCATCTTAGACTAGGATCCCTGCAGATGAAGGGCCTTGACCGGTTGAATCACAGAGGACAGAAACAATGTGAGGTTACATGTGTTAGACTAAAAAGGCATACATTCATGTCTATGAAGCAATCTCTGAAGAAAATGGATTGTGAAACTATGACCATGGGACTTCCTTCTACAACCCCCTAGTTGCCATGGAAGTAGGACCAGGTTCAAGGGTAGTTAGGTCACCACTATCTGGTGCAAACTCCACACAGTGGCCTTCCAACACTGACCCTGGCCCATCCACAGTTCCTCTGAGGAGGTTGGGAACCAGTTCTCTATTCTCCAGAATCAAGTTCAGCTTTGTCCTAGTCTCTCTGGCCTTCTCATCCCCAGGAGCAAGAGGCCACCTGGAAGAGGGAGATGGAGTGCCAGGGCTAGCCACTCACAGCTCACTCCTCCATACCAGGGTAACTTTCAAGGCCAGTACAGGCCAGAGTGAGCTGCCTGAGCCTTACAGCTCAAAGGTGTGTTCCTGGAGGGCAGGAAGGTCCAGCTGACCAGAAAACCACTGTAGCCCAGAGCCCTGTTCAGGAATTCAGGCCTCCCTGGATGTTTGGGGGAGGGGGCACCGTGCTGGGGTTGGGGGTGGGGTAGCTGGTTGTACAAACAGCCCAAGTAGGTCTCCACAAACAGGAAAAGTAAACAGAGGAGGACACTTCCCAAGCTCTTGAGCCTCTCCAAGGAGAGCAAAGCTTCCAGTGTTTGTTGAAATGCTAATATGACTTTTAAATGCTTTGAAAGAGCCGAAAGAGGAAGTACTGACTACAGACCAACCCTCCACTGGCCTGTAGTCAAAGCCTGGTCCTGTCCCCCTCCCTCATCCTCTGTCTCTGAGGTTATTACACACAGAGAGACCCAGAGGAACAGAAGTTACCTTGGACAGATGCAGTAGCTGACCACACTGAGCGCTGTCTGGCCCTATTCCTCCTTTCCCAGTCAAGAAAGAAGTCTTCTTAGGAGCAGAAAACTGGCTGGAATGGGAAAGAGCTGACTCCAGCGGCCTTCACCCTGGGGCAAGCTCAGGTCACTCTCAAACTGGGAATCTGGGAGGTACTGAAGAGTCCTTGCCTCAGCTGCTGAGAGGCACTTAATTATCTATCTCTGTGCCTCCACCTCCACCCCAAGTGGGTCTTATTTCTGGCAGCCAAGTCACTGCCCACAGGTGCAGGTGAAATGAATTTCCAATGGATTTTCCAAACAACAATTAAAGGAAACTCTTCCTGAATGTTTCAGGGTCTTGTTCTCTTTCTCTGGGACGACTTCACCAGATCCTGGTATCCCTCTCACCAGCTAGCGTGATGAACCATCCTAGTTTGCCAGGGACTGTCCTGGCTTAGCAAGGGAGGGTTGGTCACACACCACTGAGGCCTCCTCAGCTTCCTCCCATCCATCCCTGTGGTTTCAGAGAGGGCACGTACTTTGGGAAGGAGGCCTGGCTATGTAGGGGTAGGTTCCTGACATTGTTTCCTTAGGGGTGTTAGAAAGGAGAAAAAGTAGTCAATCTAGTGGTTCGATTAGTTTCTTTCTAACAAAAACTTTTTCTTTTTTTTTCTAAAGAATTACTATTTTACTTAACTTTATTTTTAATTTGGCCAGAGATGGACAGAGTGAGAGAGAGAGAGAAAATAAGCCACTAGGTCCAGGATTCAAACCACTGTTGGCCAAGTGGAAGGAGTACCATGCCCTTAACCACCATGCCACCTGCAGCCCCAGAAACTTTTTCTTATGAGTTGCTTTCTCATATTCCCTCTCTCTTGTCTCTGGTCAAGTTAAAAAATATTAAATTTTTTTTAAATAAAAGAGGGAGATAGAGAAACATAATACCTAACACTCAGCACTTACTATGCTTTATATGATATATTTTGTTTCATTTAATCTGAAAAGGAAGGTGATCTCTCTTAGATGAGGAAACTAAAACCCAGGATTACACAACCAGTAAGAAGTAGGGGTGGGATCCCAATCCAGTCAGGGTAACACCAGGGCTCACAAACTTAATCATCTTAGACTAGGATCCCTGCAGATGAAGGGCCTTGACCGGTTGAATCACAGAGGACAGAAACAATGTGAGGTTACATGTGTTAGACTAAAAAGGCATACATTCATGTCTATGAAGCAATCTCTGAAGAAAATGGATTGTGAAACTATGACCATGGGACTTCCTTCTACAACCCCCTAGTTGCCATGGAAGTAGGACCAGGTTCAAGGGTAGTTAGGTCACCACTATCTGGTGCAAACTCCACACAGTGGCCTTCCAACACTGACCCTGGCCCATCCACCCTATCCCTCCCAATGGCTGCTGGATGAATCCATCAAAACCCCGGATCTAATTGCATTTCTCGAACCCTGTCTAATGCCCCAACCAGTTGCACCGCAGAATAAAATCCAGATCCCTCAGCCAGAGTCTCACCCACTGCCTAGGAAAATCTAAGTCGGAGCAGGAACCAATTTGGCAGGATAGATCACAAGCCTTCATAAATGGTTACTTGATTTTATATTTCCCCTTCTTTTTTAAGTATATTTATTTCTTCCATGAGTGAGATAGAGAGACAAAGAGACAAAGGAGACAGGCATCTCAACGGGACCTTGACTCCACCATCCACATCCAGCCTCAGCCAGCCAGATCCCTGACGTAACCATGCCTGTGTATTGCCCTGTGCTTTCAGGGAGGTCTGCAGATGCAAATCTGGAAACTTCCTATGTGGGTCTCTCAGAGAACACTTGTACTGCTGCACTGCTGTCCAGCTCCTCTAAACAGATTTCTGGGAAATTTTTCTTTGGGGAAAGAAAGTCACATTTGAGAGAAAGAAGTGGGGTGGGTGGAGGAGAGCCGGTGATATTTTACACTAAAGGGGTTGATGCCTAGGCTTTTCCATAATGATGAAAACTCCTATGCTCAACAATAAGGAAATGGCTAAGCAAACGAATACATTGATATATCCGTTCAGTTGGATTAGTAGACGGCCATTAAAATGTATGCTTATGAGGAGTGGTAAATACCATGAAAGATGTCTGGGCAAAGGTAAGCCAAATAAGCAGGAAATACAATGACACAGTGTGATCAGACTACACAAAAACAAGACAACTACTGACAGTGAAAGGACTGAGGAAATGAACAAGATTAAAAAGAACCAGTGCTCACTAAGCAGTCCAAATGGTTCACATACTTACCTCATTTCATCTTTAAGGCAGGCCTACAAGTTAGAAATGATTTTTATCCTTACCTCACCAGTGAGAAAAATCAAAGCTCCAAGAGGGTAATTAAGTCAATCGATGGTTGCCCACAGCAAATCGAGGGAAAGAAGGCCACTGGACTCAGGTATGTCTGTTTTGTGGCTCAGACCCTGCCCTCCACACCGTACCACACCCAAGTGCAAACAGTAGCTTTATTGGCTTAAGGAACTACTGGTAACTTTTTTTAACACATATTTTTAAAATATTTATTTTAATTTCATTTTTTAAATGTTTTTAATTTGCTATACTACATATACATTCACCAGAGAGAAAAGGAAAATGAGAAAGCAAGCTACCAGGTCCAGGACTTGAACTCCTTCATCTAGAACTCCAAGTTCTCCATAGTCAGGCCCTCTGCTGTCCTCGCCACATCTATCGCTTTCTCATAGCTGTTAGGTCAGCAGGCGAAGTTATGGGGTGACACCGTCAGGTCTCTCAGGGTGGAGAGATGGGACAACTGCTGAGGCAGAAGGTAGAGAAGTGGGGATAGAGGAGAGGTGAGGCCCCTCACCCTGGTGGCCCCCACCAAGAAGACCAACAGGGCTGGAAAATGGTCATTGTGTCACACTCATGGAGAGTCCAGAGGAAACACACCGTCCATGGAAAAGCATCAGCATTAGACGAAAGGAATAGCTAGTAGACCCAGAGGCAGACCTGGGCTCCCTCCTCTTCCTTGGAGCCAGGGAAGAAGAGGCACCTCTCCCTCAGTCTCCTCTCCAAACAGGGAGCGAGTGAGAAGGTCCTGCATGGTTCACACTGACCTTCTGGACCTGGCCTCT